TCCAATATATAATCTATTAAAATTTGTTTTGTGAATTTAAGTTAGTCATGGCTGTTTGTTAAATTGACCATTTAAATTCAATTACTGATCAATTTAAATCTGTTTTGACTGTTGTTTTAACGATTTAAATTGCTGCCTTTTAAGTTGTTTTTTGCTATGCTTTCCACTGTTAATTCAAAACTGTTTTGTCTTTTCGGAAGTGCTGCTTTTGCTATTTGTTGCCTTGTCTATTAACATGTAAGGTTTTGGCCATTTAAGTTGTACGTCTTTTCCATTTAAATTTGTTGTCATTCCCATTTAAAAATGTCAGTTTTTGAAAATAACCATTTTACTATTTTAAACAATGCTTATCTACTTCCTTCATTAGTTTTTTTGACAATGACGCAAGAGGGTTTTGAAAATAACTATTTTAACACTTAAAACAATTCATATCTACTTCATTATTCATTAGTTGTTTGACAATGACGCAAGAGGGTTTTGAAAGTAACTATTTTACCACTTAAAACAATTCATATCTACTTCATTATTCATTAGTTGTTTGACAATGATGCAAGAGGGTTTTAAAAGAGGAATCTCTTTTTCAATACTGGTAATAAACTATCTAAATAATTATAACATGCCATTTTTTTTTTTCTTCCTCTGTTCATGAGTAAAGGGTTTAGAATAAAATGAATAGAAATCAAATCTAGTATTCTGTTAGAATATTCCTTTTAATTGAATTGTAAAATTTTAAGGTAAAGAATAAAAATTATTTTGAGGCGAAGTATTTTACATTAATTGGTAAATTTATAGTACATGAATCAATCTTGCACATTTTTACACTGGATATTTTATTTTATAAACGTCGTTGAACAGCCGACCCAATTTTTGGGTTTACAACTATTAATGTCCAATTACGTAGCCTTGTATTTTAAACCCATTCCAGAAGACAAAGAAACTCCTGGATCAAGTATTGGGAAAAATTTGCTTTCCTGGAGGACTTTTTGATGGAACTATCCCCTCATTTGCGTTACATGAAGAATAGGACTACGAGAACCTCCCACGTTTAGCCTGAAGGCAAGGGAACTCTAACCCATAATCTGTCTACCACTGAGGCACTTTCACTTTAGCACTGTGGTCGGTGCAAGCCGGATGCGAAATTCGTATCGACTAGCCTTCGCCGGCCATTTACAATGGATAGGAAATGTATGTTACATGGGACCAAAAATGGGGGATTTATTATTATTTATTATTTTGTTCCCCATTTTGCAAACATTAATTAACCATGAGCCCATGTTAAAGTATGCATATAAAAGCAAAAAATTATAGTATTGTATTATTATTAGTGATAAAAAGTGACATTATGACTCGATAATGTCATTTTTGTCGCTATTAAACGCTTATTTCATAATGATTTCTGATTTCATAAATATTATTATAGTCAATTATACAAATTTTTTAATCTGTTGTATGTATTCAATTAAATACTTTTATTGACTACTATATTTTTTTCTGTCTAAAATGGTTAATATCAAAAATGTTGTATCGACCATTGAAATAATTCGTCAATTCAAGATTGGACATGAGTTTTAAGTTCATTAAATAGTTTTTGCCTTATTTCAGATAAAAAAATATTCGTTAAATCACGTAATTCGGTAAATACAGTTTAGTTAAATCTGCTTTGAACTTTATTACAATTAAGTTAATTATTGTTATTGTTATAATGGTTAATTGTTATTTTTCTAAGACTTGCAGTTCTAAAATAAATGATTTGTGGCGTAAACAAGCTAGTACCATGAAGTCATCTTATATTTAATGAAACGGAAGAATTCTAAGCGGAGGAGTCCGAAGCAGATTTGATTAACCTCTATTTACCGAATTAAGGAATTCAACGAATATTATTTTTACCTGAAATGACGCAAAAACGCGATTTAATAAATTGAAAACTCATGTCCAATCCTGAATTAACGAATTATTTCAATGGCCAATATAACATTTTTGATATTTTCCCATAAACAAAAATTTTTTAATACAATTTTAATAATATTATATTTTATACCATTTATTTTTTAATTATTTTTGCAATTAAGAAAAATAATAAAAATTAAACTCATGTGTTTTTACTGCAAATTGAACAAGTGTTCTACATACAATCGACATTGGAATCATTCGTTTTATAAAAAAATTAACATAAATTTTCTCATGAGAAAAATTATATCAGCAATGGACTAAAAAGAAGTGAAGGGATACAAAACAAATATTTATTTTCTCTGACAATCCTGGAACCAAGTTTCTAAAAAAATTTTATTAAAGAGAAATATATAGGCGCACTAATAAAATGAATTTAGTGCTTAAAAATTCAGTGAATTTTTTTATCTAAGTAAAAAGTGTACAATTTTTCGTTATGAGTTCAGTAGCAGAATTTAAGGAGGCCCCATCTTCAAAAATCTAAATTTATCCGCGACCACATCACAGAAATTATTAATGTATAAAAATGAATTTAATCTACCATACATGTAGCAAAATTTTTAAATATAAAACCTTAAAAAATATACATACAAACTTTATACTTAAATTAAATTTAAACTTTATACAATTAACAATTAAACCAATAAATAAATAAATGGAATATATCTCAATACAGTTAAATCTGTTATCAATTAAAAAAAAATTAAATTTTTTTTTATGCCGTGTTCTCATAATTTAGCTTTTGAAATTTTTATTCGAAGCAAGTTAAGAGATGTTTTAAGAGGAATGTCTACAATTTCCCGCATTTGTTTGCTAACTAAAAATAAAATTTAAATGGAAAATAATCTGCAGATATTGTAATAATCTAAAACACCCGCTGCCATGCTAAAGGATTTTTTCTACTGGGGTTATGGGTACTTTTATTTGGTTGTACTCTCTATGAGATTAATGTAGAAATGTTAAAATTTCAGAGATTCCGAAAAAACCTGTCTAAATGAATTTAATTTCCTTTAAATCGAAGTCCGAACGTATTTGTTCTTCCATAATTTTAATTATTAATATTTTTATACTTAGAGATTGTAAGTACTTTCTTTCCTAAACCTTCCTCAAACTTCTCTTCCAATTTTTTTTAAATGTAAATGTGATGATTCATTTAGTAGAACTTTTAGTTAATAAAATTAATAATAATAAATGATAGTTTACATTCAAATGGTGCGTGTATTAAATAATTAATAAATAGATAAATTATAATAAAATTTGTGATTAAATTTCTGACTTGCAAATAGAATCGTATATCGTAATAATATAGTGATAATAAATATTTTTATTTAAGTAACCTGAAAGCAAATAATTAAATGAAAAATAATACAATAAAAATACGCATCCTCCATTAATGACAAATAAAAATATTTTGATTCGAAATTTGTCGCGATAATATTTTTTAAATCTAAATACAGTTTAAATACTAAATATCGAACATAACAAAAGCAACAAGTTTTAGAGAAGAAAAAAAAAAGTCCTTTCGTGAAACTTAAAACTAAGAATATTTTTTTAATCTTTATTTATGAAAAAGAATGTAATACGAGTAATCCATAGGTTTATATCCTCTGCTGATTTTATTATATCAAAAATAAAANTTAAACTTTATACAATTAAACCAATAAATAAATAAATGGAATATATCTCTATACAGTTAAATCTGTTATCAATAAAAAAAAATTTTCATTTTTTTTCTTTTTTTAATGCTGTGTTCTCACAATTTAGGTTTTGAAATTTTTATTCGAAACAAGTTAAGAGATGTTTTAAGAGGAATGTCTACGATTTCCCTCAGTTGTTTGCTAACTAAAAAGAAAAAAAAAAAATTTAAATTTAAAATAATCTGCAGATATTGTAATAATCTAAAACTCCCGCTGCCGTGCTAAAGGATTTTTTTCTACTGGGATTTTGGGTACTTTTATTTGGCTGCATTCTCTATGAGATAAATGTAGAAATGTTACAATTTCTGGGATTACGAAAATACCTGACTAAATGAATTTAATTTCCGTTAAATCGAAGTCCGAACGTATTTGTTCTCATGCAACCATAATTTTAATTATTAATATTTTTATACTTACTGATTGTAAGTAATTTCTTTCCTGAACCTTCCTCAAACTTCTCTCTTCCAATTTTTTTTAAATGTAAATGTGATGATTCATTTAGTAGAACTTTTAGTTAATAAAATTAATAATAATAAATGATAGTTTACATTCAAATGGTGCGTGTATTAAATAATTAATAAATAGATAAATTATAATAAAATTTGTGATTAAATTTCTGACTTGCAAATAGAATCGTATATCGTAATAATATAGTGATAATAAATATTTTTATTTAAGTAACCTGAAAGCAAATAATTAAATGAAAAATAATACAATAAAAATACGCATCCTCCATTAATGACAAATAAAAATATTTTGATTCGAAATTTGTCGCGATAAATATTTTTTAAATCTAAATACAGTTTAAATACTAAATATCGAACATAACAAAAGCAACAAGTTTTAGAGAAGAAAAAAAAAAGTCCTTTCGTGAAACTTAAAACTAAGAATATTTTTTTAATCTTTATTTATGAAAAAGAATGTAATACGAGTAATCCATAGGTTTATATCCTCTGCTGATTTTATTATATCAAAAATAAAATAGGGGTAAAAATAATAAAACAGCAAAACTCTTAGAGGAAGGGGAAAAAAAGGTTGTAATATTAAAAAAATGAATAAAAAAAAGCGCATTGAGTTGTATGTTTACCTCTTACAAGGTTCATCCCTGTTGAAAATAATACTCGAGCGGAACTAATAACAATAAAATAAAAGAATAAACACTCCATCTAAACAATAATTATTCTCTTTCTTTTTCCATCTATAGATCAACGCCTTCAATGGGCCGCACTCAAAGCAATCACGTCAATAATTGGACTATTCAGTATCCAATACTATGACGTCAGGAACTCGAAAGCGCTCTGACTGGTTGAAATTATCTCCTCCCAAAATATCGCTGTAGGCGCGGGGGATTGGGTCTCGAAACCGGCGTTTTGAGTTCAGTTGTAGCCTGGTCGTTGCGAGCGGCGGATTGATTGCACAATCTTCAACCGAACTGTTGCCAAAAAAACGCCGACATTTTCAACTTAATTGTTTTTAAATCTAACTACGGGATCGCATTTCCAATACGGCCAGCGGGCCATGACTGTCGATTTACTCCACAAGCAAATGCCACCGGATCGCCACCCCACCAGTGAGGAACATTCTTCTGCAGACGATAAGGGTCGTGTGAGTTCGGAAATAATGCGACCTCTGTCAGGGGGTGGGATGCCCTCTCCTAATTCTAGTGCACCATCCTCCTTTTTAATTAAAGACATTTTAAGCGGCCCTGCTGCCCAAAGGCCTGGGCAAAGGAACTTTAGTCCGCCGTTGGGATCGAGTCCACCGATGCCGAGTGGTCCGCCACCCCCGCCGATGAGTGTTCTTCATCATCCTCTCCATCCCCATCAAAACCCCTTTTTCAGACCAATGTTGGACGTTCGGAGACCCAATGGGGACAGTCAGTTCTCACATCTGGAAGAAGATGGGGATGTTGACGATGGGGACGTTTCAGACGATGAAACAAGGGACGGAGGAAATGGTGAGTTTCTATTTCTGTTTATTCTTATGAAATAACTCCAAGTGTATACGAGGTGATGTTATTAATGTGTATGAGACGTGTCTGATTAGCTATTACTCAGAATTCAATATTAACAAGAATATCTAGCGATACTTAAAATGCTTGATGTAATAAATAAAAATGTATGAGAGAATACGCAGTATACGTGAAATAATATATAATTTTGTAAGAGCGTATGAATAAACGCGTAGTGTGGTTATGTTAAATGTATGAAGAGCAAGAAGTAATACGTGGAAATGCATGAGGGAATATGTAGTTTTGTAAAAATGCATGAAAGAATACGTTAAATATATAAATATGTTTGCAGAAATCTGTTGTAAATATGTTAAGTAAGTGTAAAGTTATGTGTAGTAAAGCGCACAGGTGCATGAAGTGCAAAATTTAAAGATGCATGAAGTGATATTAGTAGTAATACGTCAGAATTTAAAATTGAAGTGATATTAGTAGTAATACGTAAGAATTTAAAATTGAAGTAATGAAAGTAAACTAGCTTTTAAGCGCCATTATGTTTCAAAGCATTTTAAGAGAATATACTTGTCTAACGAAGCTAATGGTCTCCTAAATGGACCTAAACACACCTGTTTTAATTGTATTCGCAATGCTATGTATCATAAATCCACGTATTTAATGATACACTAAGCGTAAATGTAGTACTAAACAGAAATTTTCTTCCATTAGCTACCTCTTTAGTTTTAAAGGAATGATATCATTGATTACTTTCTAGACATGCGTAGTTATTCCCAGTTGCGTTATTGCTTTCTTTCTTTAAAGAGATCAGAACCGCACTTATAGTTCAAGTGACTGTTAATTAATCATTATATGTGTTTCATAGTCTTCTTAATATGAACATCCAATTGGAAATGTCCTAAAAGTGAAAAATGTGTAACAAATGTACAAAGATTGATTAAATAATTAACAATTGTACTAACAGTGAAATGTGAGTGACAAGTGTACTAAGTCTGAAAAAGGAGTAACAAGTGTACTGAGATTGACAAATGTGTTACAAATGAAAAACTAAGTACACATTTTCGAGAATTTAAATGTTGAGTGGTGTTTAGTTCGTTTCTCAGTTTATTATTTTAACTTTCGGTTATTGAAGTAGTAAATGTAGAAGATTAGATTTCAAATTTAGCGGTTTATAAATCTACGTTGATTGTTACATTGTTAATTGGATGATTTAATTTTTGAAATAGCAGAAATTAGTTACAAAATCAACAGGTTTTTGAGTATTTTCATTTTTGAAACCAGTAATTTTTTATTGAAAACATTAAAAAATTTGGTTCATCTCTTAAAAAAATAATAGAGTAAGAAAATTTTAAATTTTATTGAATGGATATTGAAATTTAATAGTGCCGGATAATTAATCGCATTGCCGGATAATTCATCGCAACTTGTTTAATCTGGCTCCAACTTGTTTAATCTGACTCCAAATGCAAATGCGGTTAACTTCGTTTGAATTTGTACATTTTGGTATTAGGTTATAATTTAGAATGTATGTTATTATTATACTTGATTTAGTTGAAGAATATTGGTGTTAGGAACAATTCTTAATTTAAATTATTGATCGTTGATTTATTTTTAATTATTGATGTCTCATCAGCAGCCATGCATATTGCGGCAATTATTATTTTAGTTTATTTAGATTCCGTTCAGGTTATTATATTTTGTTAAAATTTAATTAGATATTTATTTTAAATCAAAAATTTTAAGTATTTTTAAAATTTTAATTTTCGATCTATATAAGAGAAAGAATAAATTACCCTGTAAAAAATTCTAGATCTGAACCTGAGTACTCAAGGTGTCTGTACTTATTACCGTAAAATTTTGAAGAGAAAGAAAAATTCTGATTAACTTTGATTTTACAGTAATAGTTAGTGTAATATCACTAATTAAATAAATATTACTGTAAAAAATTACGGTGAAATTTTATACTAAAAGTGAATTTTGCAGATTCTGGACTTACGGTGCTAGTATTTTTTTACCGTAATATGAAATCGGAATTTTTTACAGTTGCTAATTTGAAACAGCATAGAGCAAAATCGGGGTATTCTAGTTTAAATATCCATGAAGCTAAAGTTTTTAAAAACCTTAAAGCTCTAAGGTTATTTATATCGGGTGCAACATTGACTTAGTTTATGAAATAAACAATTAAATGTAACTAAAAAATATTTATTGGACATTTCAAAGTATATTTCCATTAGAAATAAGTATAGTTATATGATATAGCTAAAACAATTTTGCAGTTTTTACAAAAATCGATGTTCTAAATGATTTTTAATTTTATATTAGTATTTCGATTTTAATTAGCCACCGTAATATGATGCCATGTTAATTGTACATACAATAATTTTTATTTTAGGATTTTGTAGTAGGTATTTGTCACTTCCCGTCTATGACAGAGTTTTGTTTTCCAAAAATACTAATTTATTAACAATTTTGTACTCAACGTCAAATGTCAGATTTTATTTTAAGTAGTAGAATTTTAATTCAATTTATGATAAATTTTTATTCTGATATTTTTGGTAAAAAATTGATTTGAAGTTGTAGGGTGTTCTTTGCAGTGTACCGAGATTATCATTATCAAGGTGTCGGAGCATCAGTTATCAATATATTAATTTGAACACGAATTCGAAATTCATTGTAAATCAACATAACTTTTAGTTTATTCGATTTTTTTTTCTTGTTTATGCGAAGTTAACACATCATCAGGAAATTTTCTTAATGTTGGAAGTTTTATTTTAAAGAAAAAATATAAGAATATTATTAAAACAACTAGTATTTTTTCTCTTTTAGTTTCTTGCTATTAGAGTAAGTAAGTTCTATCCGTGAAGTTCCTTATATGTTTTTACAAGATATGTTATTGTAAATGAGTAAAACTTGTACTATAATTATGTTTATAAATCATAAAAAAAAATTTTAATTCCGCGTAATTTGCATTGCTGAGTATGATAATGAAGAATATTTTTCAAGTTATATTAAAAACCAAGAAAATTTTTAAATAATTGAAGCTTGCGAACAATTAACATCTAAATTAAACTCTGATAAGTTTTATTATATACAATTATTACTTAACCAAATCTTATTTTTCTTGATTCCAGTTTGGGTCATTCTAACTTTTTTATTTTTAACGTTTGCCTTTGAATTAAAATTAAAAATTGTTGATGTATTCTAAAGTTGATTTCGAAATTTTTATATAGGAAATGTATGTAGTGATTTTTAAAACAAAAGAAACTGCAATTTTTTCAAATGTTGTTTTTATGACGTTTATCAGTACAATCAGGCTCAGAAATTGTAGTTTAAAATGTGTGTTAAGTTTTTGTAACAGAACAATCAGATTTATACTAAAGGTTTTTAAATGACAACGAATATTAAAACAATTTTGTTTAAAGTACTGTTGCCATCGATATTAAAACCACAATTTGTATGGATTTTTCTTTAATTACACTGCACAGAACTTGTTAGAATAGTTATAAATTTGCGTAGAATAATTATAAGTTATCGTGATTATTATTTTAGTTCATAAGTTATTTTTTAAAAAAAAGTTGCAACAGTTAGTCCTATTGCAAAAAATATATTTTGTTTAAGATATTTCAGCAATTTCGTTTGAATCTTGTTAGGAGTGTCATTTGTTTTAAAGTCGAGTCGGTGTGAATGTAATCATATGAAAGATCGTTTATTTTGATTTTGAATGATATTGTTTTAATGGATGAATATTAATCTAGATCACAGCAACTTAATATAAAGTTCTGCGAAATAATTAAAAAAAAAATTTTTTTTTAATTTCTTTTTTTAGCAAACAAGAGTTTAAATGAAAATCATTATAAAAACCATATATTCTCAACGAATGCTGAGTAACATTGATTTCAAAAACTTTTTAGATTGGCGGTGATTGTCTTGAGTTATTTTTTTTTAATTATTTTTTTTTATTATAAACTGCAATTTGAAAAATATCGTTTGCTATAAATCTAAATGATTGTCGTTTGCATTAAATTTAAATAATTTCTGTTAGCATTGAATTTAAACCTTTGTCGTTTGCTTCGCATTTATCAATTTTACGAATTTTAAATACCGTTAGGATTCGTACTCGGAAAGTGAAATCGCTTGCTTTAGAATTATTTCTATTAAACTGTAATTGTAACTTCATTCACATTGAACTAATGCTTGCTAAGTTGAAGAATTAAAACTAATCTTCTGAATCAATCAATTGTTCAAAAAAGTTCTTGTAGTAATTTATTCGAAAAGTTTATGCGATGTTGTGTTGAATTGTGTCAAAGAATTATTTTAAATTGGTGTCAATAGTTTTATTCATTTATTAAAGTTAGTAAATATTTGTGCTGAAGGCTATTTCGCATATTTTCCTCCTCTTGTTAACGAGCCACCATAACTAGGCATAATCGAACAGTTTCATAGTGACCTTCTGTGCTTCCCAGCTAACAACAGTAAAACTCCGCCTTTTAATTAAATCTAGAAAAAAAAGTGTCATTACATTTTGAAAAATCAAATGCGCATTAACACCCAAATCATAGAAAATCTAATTTCCCAACAACCCGTAACTGTATTCGATATTTCTAAACGTCACGTTTGAGAGTGAACAATAGCAGCCTCGGGCCCGCGCTACTGCCATTAACCTAGTATTAATATTAGCTGTCAGTTAAACCTATCACGTTTATTTTTTGTTAACTGCAGCACAGCCTTATGAACATATTTTTTTAGTTTTTGGCTTATGGCAACGCATATATGATAGTTTTATTTTCCTTATTTTCATTTACGTGTGAAAATTACAATCCCAATCGACAACGGTGTGAAATCAGCTTGACTGCGCCTTTTTTTGCTGACAACCTATCATTTATTGGGTGGATGCAGCTTAGGCTGAAAACATAGGTTTTTGTTACTGATATAGCTAAAAGCTTTTAACAAATGGATGCCGATTTGTTTAGATGAATATCGTGATTTTTAAGTCA